TGTAAGTCAGTTTATTCCAAATGTACAGTGCTGTCATTATTCACCTATTGATGTTTTAGTTTTATAATTAAAGATATTTCGAGCAATGTCTCAGTGTGGTTTTGTCCAGTCAGGACAATAGTTTAACAGAAGAAACTCAAAGGTTTGGAAAAGTGCTGTCAAAATCATATCCAAAATAAATGTTTGTATTCACACTATATATGTGGACTCACTGTGTGTTTGCATATAAATACAAAAAGTACAAAAATCCATTTGCATATATAATTATATTTAAATATAATTTGTTTTACATATATTTAATTCACCAATCTAAATAATAAACATTTCAGTATATTTACACATATACACTACCGGTCAAAAGTTTGCGGTCAGTTTATTTATTTATTTATTTTCATGTTTTAGTTATTTGTTCATTAGGACAAACCCCTTGAGATGTACCATCTAATTTTTAAGAGGGTCCCACAAGAAAACACACACACACAAACATTAACAAAAGGGGAAGTAGTAACTGAGACAGGATTGTCTGGAGGCACAAAGCTGGGGAAGGTTACATAAAAATTTCTGCTGCTCTGAATGTTCCAATGAGCACAGTGGTCTCTATCATCCGAAAGTGGAAGATGTTTGGAACCACCAGGACTCCCCCTAGAGCTGGCTGGCCATCTAAGCTGAATGATTAGGGAGAAGGGCCTTAGGGCGGTGATCAATAACCTGATGGTCACTCTGGCTGAGCTCCAGTAATTTTCTGTGAAGAGAGGAGAACCTTCTAGAAGGACAACCATCTGTGCAGCAATCCACCAATCAGGCCTGTATGGTAGAGTGGTCAGACGAAAGCCACTTCCCACCTGGAATTTGCCAAAAGGCATCTGAAGGACTCTCAGACCATAAGAACCAAAATTTTTTGGTCTGATGAGACTAGAATTGAACTCTTTGGAGTGAATGCCAGGCGCTACGTTTGGAGAAAACCAGGCACCACTCATCAGTGAAGCATGATGGTGGCAGCATCATGCTGTGGGGAGGTTTTTCAGCTGCAGGAACTGGAGGACTAGTCAGGATAGAAGGAAAGATTATTGCAGCAATGTACTGAGACATCCTGAATGAAAACCTGCTTCAGAGTGCTCTTGACCTCAACGCTTCATCTTCCAGCAGTACAATGACCCAAAGCACACCGCCAAAATGTCAATGAAGTGACTTCACAACAACTCTGTGAATGTCCTTGAGTGGCCCAGCCAGAGCCCAGACCTAAGTCCTATTGAACATTTCTGGAGAGATCTGAAAATGGCTGTACACCGCCACTTCCCATCCAACCTGATTTAGCTTGAGAGGTACTGCAAAGAGGAATGGGCTAAAATTCCCAAAGACAGGTGTACTAAACTTTTTAAAAGACTTGAGACTGTAATTGCTGTCAAAGGTGCATCAACAAAGTGATGAGCAAAGGGTTTGAAGGGTGTTGTGTACATGTGATTTTACAGGCTTTTATTTTTAATAAATTTGCAACAATTAAAAAAATATTTTTTTTCCACATTGTCATTATGGGGTATTGTGTGTAGAATTTTAAGGAAATAAATAAGGCTGTAACAAAAAATGTGGGAAAAGTGAAGCATTTTGAATACTTTGAATTCTGGATGCACTGTACTCATTCTTTGATTCATTTTCTTGTCGGCTTAGTCCCTTTATTAATCCAGGGTTGCTGCAGCTGAATGAACCGCCAACTTATCCAGTAAGTTTTTACACAGCGGATGCCCTTCCAGCCGCAACCCATCTCTGGGAAACATATTCACACACACACACACTCATACACTATGGACAATTTAACCTACCCAATTCACCTGTACCACATGTCTTTGGACTGTGGGGGAAACCGGAGAACCCGGAGGAAACCCACGCGAAGGCAGGGGGAACATGCAAACGCTAACTGAGCCAAGGTTCGAACTAGCGACCCAGCGGCCTTCTTGGTGTGAAGCGACAGCACTACCTACTGCGTCACTGCCTCACCGATGCACTGTACAAAAAGCTATACATATCAGTGAATCAATTAGCCACATAACATCCTCAGGAAAAACAAGTACAGTCTAAAGTAAAATATGACAGCAAAGTTTGCTTAAACACCTTAAATGATGCAATGGAACGAATGTTAGCAGGTAAATTATTCCACTTCATTGGCTCTTTTACCAACTGATTTGTTAAAACGAGGAACAAAAAGAAAGTCTGAACAGAATATCTTACTTGATAATTTAAGGGAAAAAAAGCAAAATATTGTTGTGAATAATAAGGATACTTAATACCCCAAGTATAAAAAGAACAACCCAGAACAAATCTGCAAAATCTTTTATATGCCGTATTAAGAGCAAGGTCTAATCTTGATGCAGTCTGATAAACAATATCTCAATAATCGAAAATTGGAAATATAAGTTAAAGAGCAGGTTTCTTGCGAACACTAAATGAAAAACAAGACCGATGTAAGGTACTAATTCCAAGGTTGACTTTACTCACAATATGATTAATATGTGATTTAAAGAAAAGGTCAGAATATAGCCAAGGTATTTAATTGCTTCAACTTTATGCAAAGAAGTACCGTCATTACATAATATAGAATAGGAGTAACTTTTTGATTTAAGTTTTTGTCTGGAACCAAAAAATCATTTTTTTTAAAGAAAATTATCTTGTTTATAAAGGCAGCTTTTATTAAATATACAAAATAAATTTTAAATAGAAAAAATATTTATTATTACTTACTGTGTGTAGTTTCAAATGAAATTATTATTGCTTTTATTACTATTACCAATAATAATAATAATAACAATAAAAATAATAATTCATATTAGATTGATTTCTGAAGAATCATGTGACTCTAAGGACTGGAGTAATGAAGCTGATAATTCATCACTAAAATTACCGAAATAAATGATTAAATTAAATGATACACTACTTTTGACCAGTTATTTTGTAGTGAAATAAATATTACCTTACATATTTCGAGACAAGCATGTTGATAGTTGACTTTACACCCAAGAAGATTGTAACTAAATACCCAAATCAGCCTCAGAGTGCTAGCCTTATTTTATGTAAGTGTTGTATCACATAAGTGATATTCCTATTTATTTTATTGTTCAATTTACATATTTATTATGTATTTTATCACATTACTTATTATTATAAGCTCAAATTGTTTTCCTGTATTCTAAAATTACACAATTTTAAATGTTCCTTAAAAGAAGTTCCTGAAAATGGGATTTTTGGTTGCAGTTTCATTATTAGTCATTTGTCATATGTAGTGCGTGTTTTTGCATCACAAGTCTGGAAGTTTGGATACGGCTTACCTCTGATGAGCAATGATGACAAACATGCCTCGTAATGATGTGTGCAGTGTGATATAATTTCATCATCGGTTATGGCTTTCAGGACTTTTTGAAAGGTCTCTATATTAAATATTCTGTTTCAAATAAACTCATGTACTGTACACTATCTAGTCTCTAGTGTCTTACATTTTGTTGTGTCCATGGATCTACTGCCACATACTTGAATGTAGGCTCCTTGACAGCAGTTATTGTTTATTTTTTATTTTGTTTTTATTTTTTGTTTAAAAAAGAACAGCTGGGAATTTTTCCAGCTAGACTGAAATCTTATTGGGTGATGAAAATGATTAAAACGATGTCTGCTACTTCTGGTATCCCTTTAACCCTCTGTAAGATAAATTAGGATTGAATCTAGAAAATATGACCCTTTTTATTTTTTGTTTGAGTTTGCTGAGACAAGTGTGGCTGTTACCATAGATGTTTATGTCTGTACAAGCCCCCAACCATGTATTGAGCTTCATTGCTAAAATTATTTGTGCTAAGATCATGAATGAGATTTCACACTATGTGGCTTAATGCAGAAATGATGTTTTGTACCTAATGCATGAAAAATGAGGAAAGAATATGGATTGGCAATAAAGGTTTAAGACTTAATTGGTTGAAAACATTCCTGAAGAAATGGGATAAAGTTAGTTATCAACTTCATCTTGTGGTAGTTTGTCAAATATTTACATTTATTTATATTTATTTAAATCATAACCGATGAGCGAATTATTAATTATCTTATAAAATAATTTTAATATGTATAATATATTTAAAATATTTTTTAATTAAACACAAAGCAAACACATCGACATTCATGCAAGTCTGTTCAAGTTTAGGTGGTGTCACTTACATACCGACACTATTATATTTGTGCATTAACATTAGATTAGTCAGTACTGAAGCCAAATCTGGAGCTTATCTAACAAAATAACTTATGATAACGCTCCAAAAACCAGAACACCCAAATTTATGTTATAGAAAATTTTTGAATACACATTTAAAAAACTTTTTTTTTTTTGCAATATTTTGCTTGAATTTAATTGTATTACCTTTCATTTTCTAAATATGTTTGGTGACAAAAATATTTTAATAAATATCTGTTTAATGAATCTGTTTTGTTTAAATGCACCAAAATACATTGCCTATATTCACTGAGAAATGGATAAACATATTTAAAAACTTCATTTCTAGTAACTGATTTATTTTATCTTTGCCATAATGATACATACATAATGAATGGTACATAATATTAATATTTTACTAGATATATTCAAGATACGAGTATTCAGCTTAAAGTGACATTTAAAGACTTAACTAAACTGGAAATAAAATTTCTTATTTTACCTTTTTTTCCTGCAGCTGGGGAGCTTTAAATAACCACTATTAAAAAACAGACATCTACTATAAAATAACAGACGGTTAATTACAGAAATTTCCTTAAATTTTAGTTTTAAAATACAGTAAATCTCTGTATACATACATGAAAACTACATTTCTAGAAACTGATTCTTTTATCTTTGCCATAATGACTAGGTTTATAAGTCAAACACAGAAGGCAAACACATGCAACATGCAAATATGTTCAAATGTTTAGGTGGCGTCAAACACCACTTCTCAACACATGACTTATTCAAAAACAGGAAGGAGTTTAGGCGTGGGTCCAAAGATTACTTTCTGTTTCAACTCTGTTCAAGTGTATAAAAATGGAAAGCGTGTGTTAGCTGTCACTATAAGGTTTCATGCACTGGACTGCACCATGGAGGAGAGCTTTCCTTTTCATTACTCTTTATGGGAATATCTGTTTTCTTGGGTGGGGTTGTTATTTTTCCTGCTGGATGTAGTAATGGACATCTTGACTGTTGTGTCACTTTATCAGGAGGAGAATTATGTGTCTATGGGGCTGATGATCTTTTTTCTACTGGGCTCCTCAGTGCTATTACAGATATTCAGTTGGGTCTGGTACTCTGACTCTTTGGATGAGCTTGAAACTAAGGTGGAGAAATTTGCAAAGAAAAAAAAATTGATCAAACCATTCCACTTTCTGCAGCTTGGTGTTTACCTCAGGTATGTGACATCTGCATATCAGTTACAACTGTTTTGAAAAAAGAAGCACACTATTTCTTTCTTGTAAAAATCTATATTGCTGAACAAGAATTGATGTGTGCTGAATTTTATGTTTTCAAATACTCTACATGATATATTCAGTTAAATGAAAATGTGTTACATGTATGTTAAATTCAGATAAATTAAATTTGGAGTGCTTTCTGACCTACTTGCAAAATACTTAAGTACATCTTCACGTTATTTTACAATGGGTTATAGGCACAGCTAGTATTTTTCAGCCAACGATAAGCTTTCGGTGAAAGGTTTATATGACTATTTTCATTTTCATAAGGTTCCTTTTACAGCATCGATATTCTAATGTAAATAAAATGCAATCCATTAAATAGACGTAAGTATTTATTTAGATGTTCAAGCATAAACTAAATGAAAGATCGTTTAAACACAAGCATCGTTAAAAGCAGGAGTCTAGCTCTGTAACTCCATTGAAAATACTGGTGTAAAAGACATTTTGTAGAAAAATAGAATTTAATAGATCGATTCTTGTCCGATATGATACCCACTTTAAATTGTATCTCAGTCACACAGTGAAGATCACGGATTTTTAAAGAAATCAGATCTTAAATGTGGTGATTTTGTAATGGCGTGACAGTTCGCCGGAAGTGATTGAGCTGGCTGACTGAAAATGAAAAGTCTGTGTGCATATAGCCCATTGTAATAGAATAATCTGCGTACATCTGAATAAAAAAAAAAATAAAATTATATAAAGTTAACTTAAACACTTTCATAAAGTTTCATTTAAAGTTTCTCAGAGTAGACTTAAAAAGTCTAAAAATGCCTAAAATCTCCAAAGAAAATGTTTTAATGTCTTAAAAAGTCTTAAATTCACATAAATATTGAGTTGTAGGTCTTAAATCTTTTTTAAACCGGTCCTTATGTTCCATCATTCATGAATAGCTACACAATCTGGGCATTAACACAATCACCAACAATCCATCTCAATAGAACTTTTAACTTTTTATTTACAAATGGCGTTTAGTTACTTTCCTTACAGTAACATTTGTTAAAATGTTCTCCATTTATTTACTGCTGAGGATACTGACCTGACCTTTTATTTATTTATTATTAAATTATTATTGAATGTATTAAATTATAATTATATTTTGATAGATTTAAAAAAAAATGCTTAGCATTTATCACTGTATATTCAAATTTCATTCAAAATGGTCTTAAAATATGTTAAAAAGTCTTAAATTTAATTTAATCCATGTTTCTGTACATATATGTTATATACATACATGTTTCTGTACAAAATATATTTGTTACATATAATATGGAATGACATATGGAATAAATGGCATCATTGTTGGCTGTTGTAAAGTGCTCACTACCTTGTGTTCACAGGTATACTGGGCTGATGGAGATCTCGACGACGCATTTTTTTCGTCAAACTAATACTTTCACCGAGGGTGTAGCTGTGTATCTGAGCCATGATCTTCAGATGCTTCGTCTATTTGAGGCGTTTTCTGAAAGTGCTCCGCAGCTCATACTCATGATGACTTTAACTCTACAAAGAGGAGAGTTGGAGATTTTAACAGGTCTGTTTCAAATCCAGATCTTTTTTTTTCATCAATGTTATATTTTCTTTAAGTGGTTGCAGCTTTAATCTAATCAAATAATTTCAAGTTTTAAGGTATCTATCATACACCCGGCGCAATACGGCACCAGGCACATGGCTGGTCTGAAAAGGAGTTGTGTTAAGGTGCAAAGTTGGCTCGTTGCAATTTTAGGGCAACTGAAACAGACCAAAAGCTGGTCTAAATTACATTTTATTATTTAAAGAGCGTGTTAGGGCCTACTCACACTATGCCATCCGTACCGTGCCCAGGCCCGTTTTTCCGGATCGTTTGAGAAGTGTGAGTGCGCTGAATCGGGCTCAAGCACGGTTCACTTGGCCGGCCCTGGCCCGGTTGGAAGAGGTGTGCCTGAGCGCGGTTCACTTGGGCTTTGGCGCGGTACGCTTGTGTGTGAGTGCAAAACGCGCCAAAGCCCGAAACTGAAAGCGAGACATGACTTTTAAGGGGCTGTTTCATATGGATTTATTAATAATTCTTACTGTTCAGTGAACAAAAACTGCCGTAGTTTATTAAAGACGCAAACCCCTCACTGCACGACAGCTGCGCGGCTTCAGCAGACCTCCTCATTCCTGCAGCACGAGAGCTTTATGATTATGAGCGCAAAAAGTGGCGGATCTGTTCGGCGAAATATCTGACTGCATGTCACCGCATCCCTAAGGACTGTTTGGCGAAATATTTGACTGCATGTCACTGCCTATCAAATCGACTGAAATGATTTAACTAGAGAAATCTCTACTGTGCTGCTGAGTGAGAGTGTGCTTCTCACTGAACAGCGCAGCAGCGATGACGTAAGTGTGCCGAGGCCCATTTGTGGTGTGAGTGCAGGCCGTCAGGGGAGACGGGAGGGGGGACAAGCGTGCTTTGGCCCGGTTCGAGGCAACTGTACCTAGTGTGAGTAGGGCCTTAGTTATGCACCTATGTGGGTCCAAAAGATGCGTACACATTGCTTAATATGCACAAGATGTACAGCAATACACCAATATTTTACATATGAAAAATAATGAAGTATTAAATTACTACAAAAATATGATTTAATGTTCAAATTTAATATTTAAATCAGTTTGATTTTGGATTTAATTTAACATTTTATTTACAACCTGGATTAACTACAATCCTTGTTCCTCATGAGTTTACACTCAGATTAAGATAAAAAAAATAAAAATTCTAAAGACTCTTGGAAACCAGCAGCCATTGACATCCACAGACATCTAAAAATACTATGGATATTCATTTTGTACCTATATGTTCAGCAGAAGAAACTCAGATAGGTTTGGATCAGGTAGACGCTGAGTAAATGATGACAGAAATTAAATCTCTTAGTGAATTATCTCTTTAACTGCTTTACTTGCTTGTGTGATATTGTTAATAACCTGCAATGGTCTTTTCATCTCAGGTTTGAAACTCCTCTCATCAGTGGCCTCAATTGCCAGTACTGTTACCACGTACCACCGCGGCATGCGTGCTTTTCTTGAAGATAAACACAAGATGAGATGGACCTCGACTGCTTTCTACTTCCTGTGGAACTTTCTGCTGATGATTCCCCGTGTGGCCGCTCTGGCGCTCTTCTGCAGTGTATTCCCGTGCTACATCACTGCTCATTTTCTATCTTCGTGGATGGTGCTGGTTTTGGTGGCCTGGAGCCAGAAAACAGATCTAATGAAAAGTCATTGGGAATGGCTTTACAGAGCTACTGTTGGACTCATCTGGTACTTCAGCTGGTTTAACGTGTCTGAAGGAAGTATAAAATTAAAGAGTGTCGTTTATTATAGTCTCATGGGTTTGGACACGATTTTGCTGCTGGGCTTCTGGTGCTGGAAGGTGGTTGAGTATGCAGACAGTTGGAGTACGTTAAATCCTTATATAGTGGTTCCAACACTACTGGGTTTGTATGTGATTGGAATTCTAGTGGAAATAATATACTACAGATGGTTTCATCCTACCTGTGACAAAAACAAAATAGCTGAACCCAGTAAACCAACACCAATATTTAAAGTAGACTCAGTAGGCTTTCGCAATACGACAGACTCTGGAGACTTTGAAGGGTCGCCTGCAATTGCAGATGAAGGTCCTGCTCCACCTGTCACTGGAGCTGTCAAGAGAAGCAGGACTTTGGCTGCTAATTTCTTCTAGTTATTTCCCTGCACACATCTTTCCAACATCACTCATCCTTTTCCTAAATGTATAATAATTTATTACACAGAAAATTCTAATAATTTTTTTTTTTTTTTTTTTACAAAAACATTTTGCTAAAAAAGTATTTATTGTTTAAGATCATTTAAACATGAAGGTGCCACATTTGTGTTTTGTGTCTGTAAATGCCATGTATTTGCATTAAAAGAGATGAACTATTAGATAGTGTACTTATGTGGTTTTGCAAGACATTTTGTTATTGTTGTTGATGTTGTTTAGATATGATATGGTTAGTGTTAGGAACAGATTTGGAGAATTGTGTGTATTTGCATCAGCAGTGGTAACAGTTGTATTCCAGATCTTTAGCCATTGTATGCCATTGTCAAAACCCCAAACACAATAAACATTTTACATACAAAACACAGCTTTGTCAAAAGCATGTTTGTCACATTCAGGGATAACATTAATCACTTTTTTTTCAACAGAACACAAAATATTTTCAAAAGTTGTCAATAAATGTTTCAATGCATAACACCCTAATAAATTGATGCTCACACTTTGCGCTGCCGCTTTGGATTGTAAACTCCGCCTATTTTCATTTGATTGGCTGTCTCAATAATTTTAACATTGGCTGTTTATAAGCGGAAGCAAACCAGCCTTAAAATGTATTTTTATAAGCAATTTAAAAGTCCTATCATTCTAAAAGTAAAGCATTAGAATTATTAACAATACTTAACAATTTACTGGTTTTTACCTAGAATATGGAGGTAACTTTTACCTCACCTTATGATTATGTAGGAATGAAAATTATATGCATTTGTTTATATGATCTTTTTAACCAAGGAAGGCTCACACAAATTCCAAAGAAAGATACTGACTAGATCAGGGCCTGGTGTGTGGACTTTGGGGGTTTTTACGATGTAGTCACATGTTGATTGTCAGTTTGAAATTATTTGGGCTTGATACAAAATAGTTGGTAAACTCTGCTCTGCTCTGCCTCTTTTCCCGTCTCTGCGCTTTCCTGCTCTGCTCCTCTCCTCCTCTGGAGTCTATCTTCTCTGACACTACTGCAACCAGGCTAACTTCTAGGCCTGCTCTCTTTGTCTCTTTCTGTCTCCCCCTGTGTCTCCTCTTCTACCTCTGGTAACTTTAATTTTACATTTAAGCTGGGTGCAATTTATATCATATGTTTTATCATTTCATATTTTGCCATTTTATACAGTTATTTTGTAATTAATTCAGTTGTAACCATGACCACCTTATAAAGCAGGCTAATAATAATAATACTTGTTATATATATATATATATATATATATATATATATATATATATATATATATATATATATATATATATATATTTATTTATTTTATTTATTTTTTTTTTCCAGAGATTTGTCAGCGGTTTTGTTACAAGCCATGTTTGATCTAATCTTCTGTGTTGTTAACTTCAGCTGTTTCTCCTCTCAATCAGGGCTAGCACGCAAGCATTTCTCTCCTGTTTCCATTTCAGTCTATTGGCCCCTCCTTATATACCTGTTCCCTCTTGTTACTCTTTGTCGGATTATTGTGTGTGTCAATGCTCATTTACCAACTCTCGCTTGCTAGTAAACTCTACATTTTTTAGTTACCCAGTCTAGTCTAGTCCAGTACGGTTTCTTGATCAACTACTTATCGCTTTTGCTTACCTGTGATCTGCGCAGTCTCCTCACCACTGACATCCTGCGATCGCCAGCTACAGCCCTCGCTCCGCTCCGAGGGAGCCGAGGCGGATCACCAGTTTCTCCCTCTCCAGTCTGCTTTCTCCCATGGGAGGTGGAAGATCGGCAGCTGCCTTGTTTCATCCGTTTTTGCAAAATAAACTCCTGATTTTGAACTGATCCATCTCTGTTTTCTGACCGAGCCTGACAGAATAATCTGACCCAAAACTTATCCTGGATGGATCTCACAAGGGATTCTCCTATTCGCTCTGCTATGGAGTTGCAGGGCATGATGCTGGGCCAGCATGAGGAGGAGGTGGCAGCAGCTAGACAGGTAGTCGAGAGCTTGTCCGCTCAAGTCACCGAACTCACCACTCAGCTCAGTAGTCTCGGATCCACTCTGGCACCCGGTTCCCATCCACCACCAAAGGCGCGGATTAACAACCCACCGCACTACTCAGGTCAGTCCACCGAGTGTCAGTCTTTCTTTCAGTCTTTACTTCGTCACATTCCCTTTAAGTCTCACCGTATCTGGTAATCACAAAGAGACAATTTCCTTTAAGTTATTTCGCTCTCCATACACACCACTAGTCTTGGGTCATCAATGGTTCATCCAACATAATCCTCACATAGACTGGTTTAAGAGGACTATATTATTATGGAGTGTACCTTGTCATGTCAAATGTCTTGTATCTGCTGTACCTGCTGTGTCTTCCGTTTCTGTGTTACAGGAGGAGCACGGTGATTTATCCGGTGTTCCAGAGGAGTACCACGATCTACGATCAGTGTTTAGCCCCAGTGTTTAAGACCCAATTCGCTTGGACCCTGGAGGCTCAAACAGCTTTTGATCTCCTTATGGAGCTCTTTTCCAAGTTTCTAAAACTTCTGATTCTGAACTGATCTATCTCTGATTTCTGTCCGAGCCTAACAGGTTTACTTTTCATCAAATTTATTTTTTACAGTAGACATTGTTTATAATGCATGTTGCATGACAGACTAGATGATAAATAACTGTCTGTTTAAAAACAATATTTGATTACACTTTATTTTAAGGGGTCCTTGTTAACAGCATCATTATACATGATATAAGGTTTTTATTTTTAATTAGCAATCAACAGGACCCAAAATATATACACACCACAGATAACCATTTACCATGCGGGAAAATCGTGCGTTTACAAGATAAATACAGCAAGATTTTTAAATATCAACAGGATATTTACACATCACAACCCTGCAATTTGTCAATTTGTACAAAAAACTTGGCAGTATTAATGCATAACTGATGTCAGCTGCTGCAACATCGCTTGTATTGTTTATTATTTTTTGTTTATGTTTGCCTTTTATTCAAAGGGTAAACTCAGTGCTTAGACTTTGCGTTTACATAGTAGCCTGCGTTTGCTGTTATATCAACACAAATGGTTGCAATAACGTTAACAAAGGTGAGGTTTTATACACTGAAGATTCAATCGCGCCAGCTCCCCAGCCGCAGCGCACATACTCGCGGGCCGACTCCGACTCAGATGCGGCGGCAGCTTCGGTTAACAGCCACCGCATTTGGCCCGATTAACTCGGGGTAGAATCGGGTATTGTGTCCACAGGAATTTGGCCTGAGTAGATCCAGCAGACGGAGCCGAGCCGAGGGGTACGTCTCTGGCAGGTGAGAATCCAGCCGGAACTGACCCGAGTGTATTTTGCTATCTGGGTGGCAAGGAATGTATCAGCAAACGAATAAAGCCTGAAAAAAGCCCTGACCTTACCGAATAAACTGTGTTCCACCAGATCTTCTATGTCAGAACGTATAGTTTACTGCTGGACTTATTATATCATAGTAAAATAACACATAAATTGAATAATAACTCTTCAGTCTCCTGCTGAAGCTCAGACGTGCTGCTTTGAGAAACACCAATCACCGCTGTCAATCACGATGACACGCCCAGCATGAAATTACTGCTAAAAACAAACTGTTTACAAAAATGAAGATCTGCACCTATTTCAGCATGATAACCAGTGCCTTAATTGAGCAGAACCATCTTTCGGGACATTTTATTGCAAGTGTAATTATTTTTTTTGTTTGGGCTCAAGTCTCATTTATTGAGACTTGAGGGGGTGATCTAACGGCCGAGACCTTCATTCAAAAGCAGGCTTGCTGCACAATTGGTAGTTTAAAAAATATTTAATGTTTTCTAAAACTGTCTGGCCATCTTAGCAAAAACATTATTTGAAATATGTCCATTAAGGTTTGTAGGAAAAATATCGATGACTATTTGTAAAAGTAATACAAACACTTTTTGATAAGATTTTTTTTTTTTTTTAAATATGGCACTGATAATGAACAGTTGGGTTCTTTTAAACGATCACAGCTTGTGTACTTTTTTAACTTTAAATTAACACATTTGTAAAAGTGTCAACAATTATAGCACTATTGCAACTTATTGCTACCTAAACTACCAAAAATTTTACATGTTAATAAATATCAGTAAATTAACAGTTATGAAAAACAATCTGAACTAGCAATTTACTCTACTGAGTGAAGCCAGCAGCCACTGCTCTTCTGAGTCACTGTTTTAAAATTGCTAAAAGTCTAATGAAGGTTAAAAATTGCAAAATTTGTTGCGAGGTGCTTATTGAAAAAAAAAAGTTGCTAGGGTTGTATGAACAGAAATTTAGCAACAAAATTGCTAAGTTGGCAACACTATATATATATATATATATATATATATATATATATATATATATATATATATATATATGTGTGTGTGTATGTATATTGTTATGGCCAGCTTGCTCCCGACCGTACCATAAAAAGGATTAGATACACAAAAAAGTATATAATGAAATAAATATTTATTAAGGAGAATAACAAAGTATAACAAACTGTCTAGGGATTTGAAATAAATAAGTAATCAGCTGAAATTCTCTTTACCCCATCTCTAATAAAAAGATTCTGCAAGAGTCAAAGAGAGAGAAAAAAATCAATTAGCAAACAATCACAAAATAAATATATCTCTTCATCAAACAGCTCACTTCTTCTTCCTCTCCCAGCACCTCTGGGCTCTAGAAGTGCAAAAAGAACAACAAAAGTGAAACATGCAATATGAACAGGATTATACTCTAGAGAGTGTGTTCACAATCACATTATCTTTTCCTCGGACATGCTTGATTTCAAGATTGAAAGGCTATAAAATTAGACTCTATCGCATAATTCGTTGGCTTCGGTTTTTCATCTGACTTAAAAAACCAAGGGATTATGATCAGTATAAACAATAATTGGTGTAGCGATCGACCCTAAATATACTTCAAAATGTTGTACAGTCAGAACAAGAGTAGGGGCTTTCTTTTTTAATGGTGAGTACACCTGTCAATGA